TGATGTTAGCGACGATGTGAGGAGAGCGGCGGTTTTGTCTTTAGGGTTTGTGTTGTGTTCATACAGAGAAGAGGTAAACCCTAAACCCTCGTAAACCCTAAACCCTCATAAACCCTAAACCACCGCACTAGTAAACACTCAACACACCTACGCCGTAAACCCTAAACCCTGCTCTATTCGTAGTCCGAGATAAAACTACAACAAACCCTTATTTGGGGGGAGATTTATACTCTCTAGGGTTTAGGGTTTAGGGTTTAGGGTTTATGAGGGTTTAGTAGGGTTTAGGGTTTTGCTTCTCTCTAAGGTTTTATCTCTAGGGTTTAGGGTTTAGGGTTTAGGGTTTGCGTTTACAGAGTAGAATTAACCTCTAAACCCTCGTCAAGAAAAAAAACGATAAACCGTGATGAACTTTCTTAGGGTTTAGGGTTTACTAGGGTTTACTAGGGTTTACTAGGGTTTACTAGGGTTTAGGGTTTAGGGTTTGTGTGTTGCTGCAGCTGCTGCGTATACTGGTGCTGCTGTGCAGCAGCTACAACCCTCACGTCCGCTTTGCTGCTGCAGTTTGTTTAGGGTTTTCGTTTGCTGCTAGGGTTTGTAAAGAAGGAGAAGAAACCCTCACGCGCCTCACAGCTGATGCAGTTGACTTCGTTAGACAAGGTCTAAACCCTAAACCCTAAACCCTCAAAAACCCTAAACCCTTAAAAACCCTAAACCCTAAACCCTCAAAATCCTAAACCCTCAAAACGCGAAATCCTAAACCCTTAAACAAGACTCTAAACCCTTGAACAGAGACAGTATAAACCCTCGAAACCCTAAACCCTTAAAAAACCCTAAACCCTAGACCCTAAACCCTAAACCCTCTTTTTTTTTTTTTGTGTGAATGCAGGAGCATACGTGGGTTTAGGTTTATTATATCAACTGCAAAACACAGCAGCAGCAAACGCATTCCGCGAAGATATAAAAAAAATAATAAAAGACAAACACGAAGATTCTTTAGTGCGCTTTGGTGCTTTAGTTGCTGCAGGGCTCATCGACGCAGGTGTACGTACACCCCAATATATTTATTTTTTTTTTTTTATTTTTAATTTTTTTTTTTTTTTTTTTTTTTTTTTTTTTTTTTTTTT